TTTATTTTCCGCAGTTACAGAAAGTTGTTACGGCGTATGTTAAGTCGTGCCATATGTGCCAATTAATAAACGATGTTAATTACAGCCCGGCCGGGTATTTAAAAAACATAAAGACTACTTTTCCAAACGAAATAGTTGGAATAGATTTGCTAGGACCCTACCCTAGGACAAAAATAAATAAAAACGGATATCTTTTAACAATCGTTGACCATTTTTCAAATATGGGTAGAAATAGTCCCTCTTAAACGAGCTTCAGCTAAAATAGTCGCAGATTCGTTCTTAAATAAATATATATTAAAATACGGGGCCCCACTAAAAGTAATATCAGATAACGGTAAACAGTTTGTTAAGTAGTATATTTAAAAATTTGTGCACAGGACTTGGCATACGCCATCTAAAAATGGTACCATATAGGCCGCAGTCGAATATAGCGGAACGCGTAAATAATATTGTAAAAATTAGCAGGAGATATGTGAAAAATTTTCATGACCGCTGGGACAGCTGTGTCAATGAGTTAGGTTTTGCCTTGAGAACCGCAAAGCACGATCCTACGCAGAAAACCCGCGCGGAGTTATTTTCAGGAAGAAAAATCATAACGCCGTTGGATAAGCTATTCTTTGTACAACAGAGACAAGAAGAATTCAAGTTAAAAGACGTTCAAAAAAATTATTGACGAAGCAATTAAAAGTTCTGATATAGCAAGACAAAAACAAAAAGTTTATTACGATAGAAATAGAAGGGAATTGGAATATAAAAGTGGGACAAAAGTTCTTAAGTTGAAATATTCGTTATCGTCGGCACCAGAAAACAGAGTTGCGAAGTTTGAGCCCAGGTTTGAAGGCCGTACATGGTGGAAAGAATAAGAGAAGCCACGTTTTATTTAAAGGCCGAAAATGGCCAACAACTGGTGGCAAATATCGATCAGTTTAAAACCTTATTACAGCCGCACTGACTGACTTTAAAATATTGCAGGATTTATTACAGGATCCTGGAAGTAAGGAGAGAAGCCCGCCAGCTCAGGAGTACAGCTGGAGTCCCCCAACACAAAAAAGAAAGCAGAGCCAGCAAACTTCGACCAGGAGAAACCCATTACCAGTAATGCTACAAGCGCACAAAAAAGGAGAAAGTTAGCACCGACAGATCAACGAGTCAGAACCGATGATGCTGCAAAAACTCAAGTGCCATCGACCACAAGAGGGAGGCCTGCTGACAAGGTTCCAGGAAAGGAGAAAATTCAACGACGAATTAAAACTAGACGTAAAGCACAGTTTCCAGCATCAACAATTACAAGGGAGACCCAAGGAGGACCAGCGTGGAGACCGAAAAGCCAGAAAAGACCAGTAGACACAACCGTGCCGGAGCAACAAGTTAGAAGGGCCAAGAGAAGATTCAAAGACCCTGAAGGACGGATAGCCCCACCGGAGCAAAAAAGGAAATTGGCATTCCAGAATCCACAAGCTGCCCGCAAGAGTTCCAGATTCCTACATAAGGGGAAAAAAAGGAAAGCACTGGAACTAAACGGAACGGAACATCAAACATCGAGAAGAAGATTGGAGGTAGTCAGGTTTTCTACATTTGAACAGTTCTGTAATGACAGGATGCAGGAATACAGAAAAAGATAAAAGAAAATTTCTTTGCTAATTTTTCATTGAAGTTCAAATTATATCATCTTGTTATAAGTTGCTAAATATGTTTAGAAAATTTAAATCGCAGATAGCGATTTTTGATTGTAAATGTTCGTAAGCATAGATTTTTATGTTAGTAATTTGGCGAGAAGCTACTAGCGTTAAATACTTTTTTGTTAAGAACTCGCAAGTTGCGAGAAGTAAATTGTGAATAAGTTTAGTCGGAAGACTATTGGAATACTAAAATCTGTTAACGTAAAGTTAAGATTTCGTGTAAATTTTGGTAAAGTGTAATTAAGCAACTATGACTGTTGATGTAAAATGAATTCAAAAGTGATGTGTAAATATTTAAATGTTCATGTTCATGTAGAAATGTTTGATCTTTGTGTTGAAATATCGTAAAGATTAAAATGACATAGAAAATAAATTTTTATTTCTGTGTATGGGAATTATGGAAGAATGGAATGTTTATATATATGTGTTTAATGTTAGGCTCTCCAGTTAACACGTTTAAAAGTAAAATATAAGCTTTTGCTTACTACAGTAGGAAACAGTTTTCGTGTAGGGAGTCTTGGCAGGTCTAGTGTGTCAAATTTAACAAAGTTAGGTGTTGTGTAGCGGTAGTTTTGTTCGCGGTAACACAACATAGAAGACCCTAAGTACATTTCAGTACATTTGCTGGAGAGCATGGGTGAAATAAAACTGTAGTATGAATGAAAGTGCATAAGGGCCAAATGATGAATTAAAAGCGTAAAGTTAGGATTTAAAGAAAAGTTTTGTAAAATGCATTACTAATGACATTTCCTTCCAGATATGGAAGGATCAAGACCTGACATAAGTCTAGCAGAATAAAGAGTCCATGTAGAAGATGTATGTCAAGATATAATGTCCAGAAAGGACACATTGTAAATTTTATTTTTCCTAGCTTTAGTCTAGCTTTTAGAATTGTTGTAAAGTTGGCCCTAAAAACGAAACTTTAAAGTCATTTAGTTAATTTAAAAGTTGGAAGAGTGTAGTTAATGTAAGTTTTCAGACTTTAAAGTCTTAAACAAGGTCGTTTTGAGACCTTATTTTTCGAGTATTTAAAGTCTGGTCGGAAGCTATGTAAGGATTATGTTAATTTTATTAACAGTTAAATTTTAAGTTAAAGTTCCTTTCCTGTCAAATTCTTAACTTCAACTTACTACTTCCGGCCAGAACGTAGTTTTGGAATTTGCTGAATATTTAATGAGAAGGAGCGGTATTTAAACCACGAAGTTACTTACTGAGACAGAGAGAGAATCAGAGTTTCTGAACTACGCGCGTCTGCCTTTTTGGCCGCTCTCTCTCTCAAAGCTGTTTTACGCTCGGCCGTACTCAGGCCCTTGCTAAGCTTCGTAGTAAAATAAGTTTAAGGGGCCAACTCTCATTGAACCTTGATAGCTTTGGCTATACTTATTTAGTTTAATTCTTAGTCTTTTAAGTTCAAGTCCAAAGTGCGGACTTTACTTGTATACTCCCAGGCGGAGTTTTGTTAAATCTTATCGAAATAATAAAGGGTTAGTTACCCTTCTCTCTTGTTGTTTCCTGTCATCGAACTCTAGCGATTATTCGCTTATCAGTTCCTTAGGTTCCTCACTTCCAACATTAACTTAGAATTCCAAAGTGAGGTACCTTACAATGCAATTCATGAGACAGACGCTTCATGACAACTCTTTCAGAGGCATTTCCACAATTCTGTACTGTTTGTTCAAAATGTGTCGACGCTAATATCGCACGTTTACCGAGGGTCCAAAAATCTCACTGATGTTCAAAACAGCGACTGGTAGTGTCCTGACATTTCTCACGCGGTACAGTGATGATGGAGAAAACGTTTTAAACCAAATTGTGACAGGTGATGAAACTTGGGTGTGTCATTTCACATCAGAATCGAAACAACAATCGATGGAGTGCAGACACACTCATTCTACGAAAAAAAGAAAAGTTCAAAGTGACAATGTCATCACAAAAAATCATGTGCACTGTCTTCTGGGATAGGAAAGGCGTTTTGCTTACTGAATTTCTTCCCAGAGGTGAAACCATTAACACTTTGACTGCCATGGCTATCATATGTGATATCCAGTGATATTTCCGTTGAGACACTGGCTATCCGATATGATAGCCATGGTGTTTCAACACTTCAGGCCATGGCTATCAAATATGTTATCAGTTACATGAAAATCGTATTGGAGCTTGATTGTTGGGCGCCCTACGATGTGTTAGGTATACGTGGTTTGCGCAAATTGGTATATGTGACGATTTTATGAGCTAAGTTTTATGAAAAATTAAATATTTGGAACATGCAACAAAAAAGGGAATATATATAAATAGAGAGAGAGTATGTGATAAATATATATAAAATATATGATAAATACATATATTTGCAATTTGTGAAAGTAAAAAGAATATAAATACATCATGTTATTGCCTTTATTTCAGGATAAAGTTACATTCAGTGTTTAGCATTGAAGCAATTACGACACATTTGAGGCTGGTCAGGACAATTGTCACAGTATGTGGAAATTAGCTTTGCTTTTTTTCTGGCTTGTTCACGACCCTCTGTCTTAGAAATATTGATATAGCATATATGGCATTTACGTCGTACCTTTTTACCATTTTCATGGATCCTATCAATCAGGTGGTGCGTTTTTTTACTTGTTTGCTCATTACGATCAGGATCTATAGCCATACCAAGCAACTGGAAAACTAATCTCTCTCTAAATTTACGAATTTTCATTTTGGATTTTGTTACATGTCGATATACAACCCATGCGTTAACTACTGCAACGCCTAACAACAATTCTAATCCTAGTTTTCTGTACCACTTAACACCTTTTCTTAGTGTTGTGGCATAAGCCCCCATCTGATCTGACAAATCTATGCCAGCTTTGCCTTTATTGTATGCCAATATGGCTTCAGGTTTTTCTAAAGCCCTTCGATATTGTCTATTTGTTTTTGTGCTGGTAGATGGTTGTTCAGATAATAAGTTGGTTGAGGGTATGACTGCAAATTGATTTGCGCTGGTTGATGGCATGCTTTGTAGAAGGCTTTGGCTTGTTGAAGTAGTTGCAGCATGTTGATTTGTATTTTTCCCTTGCTCCATTTGCAATGCTCGTTTTTTCCTAGGTGCAACTGGAACAAATATAGGTGCATGTTTTGTGCTCAATATCCGAACAACTGGAACAAATATCAGGGGTGTCCTTCCATTTTAACACAACAATGCCATTCTCGTCTTCTCTGGAAATCATTTCTCCTTTCTTTAAGTTTGCTTCGAGGACTTCCTTTGGGATATCTCTTTTATTTGCTCTTAGTGTTCCAACAACATGCGTTTTTTTATCTAGCAAACACTTTGCCAAATCATAAACTAGTATAAAAATTGTCTATATAGAGAGTTCTGCCTTGATTGAGAAGTAATTCCGCTAGTTCCAAACACACACTTTTTGCTAATCCGGTTTCACGCTCTCCAGATGCAGACTTTCCAGTATAGACTTTAAGACCCCATGTATATCCATCAACTGAACACAGCTTGAACAGTTTGACTCCATAACGATGGGATTTATTTGGAATATATTGCCTGAAAATTAGGCGCCCTCTCCATGGAACAAGAGTTTCATCTATAACGAAATCTTCTCCCGGGTAAAATAGGGCTTTGAACTTTTGTTGTAGCATGTCAACTAGGTGCTGTATTTTTCGCAGCCTGTTACTGGTATCGCTCGTTTCATTGTTATCAAAATGAAGCATAGTTAGTAATATCTGAAAACGATTTCGTGACATTATCGCACGTGGAATTGTCATGTTGTAGACTCCATTTTGTGACCAATAGTCTTCCAAACGACCTAGTGGTACCAAACCCATCCACATCATCAATCCTAAGAATTTTTTCATTTCTTCATGATTTGTTTCATTCCACCGATTTATCCTGGAATGCTTCAATTTTGGTTGTGATGAAATAATTTGCCCTGCATATCTGTTTGTTTCAACAACAATGTGGTTAATGATCTCTTCATCAACAAGTAGTAAAAATATATCCAATGGTGTGCTTTGTTGTGAAATGTCTGATTGCAAACCATGCTTTCCGATAAACTCAAACACTTTTTGTCTGCCCACATATTCTGTCCATCCATCGGTGGTGATTATATTATTCTCCTGGTCATAACTGTCGGGTAGGTCTGTCAAATCCTCAAATTCTTCATCAGATACCACAGCTTGAATAACGTCTTCAATAACATTATCAATATCATCGTCCATATCAGTTTCGTCAGATGAGCTTTCAGGGGAATATGCAGGATCCGCGTCAGAATCAAATAAATCAAAGTCTTCATCATCCCATGAATCATAGCATCTCATAGCCGCAGCTTCAATTTCTTCCA